TATTATTAGTTAAAGGATAGTCAAGCTCTCACTTCAGGTAAATTTGAATCAAAACATATATTGTCATTTATAATTTCGCTCTTACATAGGGTAGATGAATCCCCAAACAGTCTTAAACTGTATCTGATGCCAATTCTAACTTGCTACAGTGTTTTCTCCTCATGTGGAGCTGGCTTTAGTTGGTATCAAATAATTTCGGTGCTCCTGAAGTCTGCACTGAAATACCTGTATGAAGGGAGCTCAGCAGGCTTCTGTAATGCCTTCTGTGGTATGGATAGTGAGCTCTTAAAAGCAGCACAGTTCAGGCTGAGTTGTAGCGTGTTCAGTATATTCCCATTGTATTGGGAATAGTTCTGGTCGGGAGTTAATACATCCACATCATCTGGAAAGCTTCAGATGCTTGCAAATCCCAAGTCCAGTGTTTTAGCAATTCTTCAAAACAGCTGATGCTGTTGGAACATAGTGTGACCTAAGACCTGCCTGTCTTAGGGCTCAGACCTTCCAGGAAATTCTTAATGTTACCTTGGTGGTCTTTCTCCATTTCTTGGGTTCATATTGCTACTGAAATTCCTGCTATTTCTCAGACTTGTTAGGGTAGCCTTTGGATTTGCTGTTACATGTTCCCAATTCCCCAACCTGCTCTGTCAAAATAGCCATTCCCCTTAGCTCAGGCTTTTGGTTAGGCTGAAAACAGCATTATAGAAGTGGTCCATGACTTGGTGGATGTTCCCTGATTTACTGACTAGTGTTTAATGTAAATGACAGTAGAATCTCACTGTAGAAATGCAGGTGTGGAGGTGTTACTTTGTGTACTGTTGTGTACTTTGTACACTTCACACAAGCAGTGCTGTTCAGTGAACACTGTTCCAGTTATTGTTTCTAATTCACAGATAAAGCTGAACCGGTGACCTGGAAGCAGCACATTTCCTAAATCACAAGGGTGGGTTTTGCAGTGCCCAACATAGTAGGAAGTAACCAGCAGGTTTCTGTTGGTTCTTGACAGCAGACTGGCCTTTGCTACAGTTGCCCTGACTTACAGAAGGTTCTTAACTGTTACAAACACAATACTAAAGAACTATTGTAACAGGCAGAGTTCACTGCTTTCTGCTTACCTTCAGCTACTACCTGTTAGTGACTGCTGATGTTAAACTTCCTAAAAGTGGCCTTCTCTTCATAGCTGATAGGCATTCAGGATGGGTATCTCTCCCTGCTGACGGAAAGTGGTGAAGTTCGTGAGGATCTAAAGTTGCCAGAAGGGGATCTCGGCAAAGAAATAGAAGGAAAATTCAATGCCAATGAAGATGTGCAGGTGAGTATGGAGGGCAGACAAGAACAGTTATGGCTAATTCCACTTGATGATGCAATGAGGAGGTCTTATTCTGGTATTGACCACTTGTATCTCTTTGTGAAGAGTGGGTTAGAGGGGTGGGAATTCACCCTTTGGGATGTAGAAGGACTTTTGTAGTGGAGTACTCAAAAGAGGTGGGATAGATACTAAAATGTGAAAGTCTGTAGCTTCTAGGAGCACTTCCTGTGGCATGGTCTGGAGCTCACCTCTGTGTCTTCTCTTCCAGATTTCTGTCATAAGTGCAATGAATGAAGAATGTGCTGTAGCCATAAAGCCTTGCAAGTAAAGAAGATCGCCAGGCTCGGGCAACTGCTCAGGTCTGGACAAACCACAGATCTATAAATTTGGTTCTTATTGTCACCAAAGCTCTGGCCTTCACAAGCAACCTCATTTCCTTTTTGAATTGTTAAAAAGCAGTGCTGGATTCTGGATTAGTGTTGCAGGCTAACTGGCAGTTTTCAAAATCACTGAGATTTTAATTCCTTAATTGTAACTATTTTAACATTCCTGTGGGTTTCAGCTATGGATCTAAGAAACCAATCAGGTGTTACTAGTGGATATATTTTTATTTGCTTGAGCAAAACAGTGTTTGTCTGTATGAACAGACAAAATACAGTATTCAGGGGCTTTTAGATAAGCTGGTAGGTATCTAGGATTATAAAGTGACCTAGAGCACAAATAGTATTTTTCTCGACATCTTTAGGTAGAACTGACAATAAAAGTAGCCTTTTTTTTTCTTTTTTTTAAAGCTTAAGTACTTTGTGGATTGGGACTCTTGCAGAACTGTAGGTGCCAATCACAACTTTTAGACCAAGAAACTCAAGTGATCAGAAATGCCAGCTGGCTTGACCAAGCCCCGGTGGCCATGTGCAACTTAACTGTATTACCTCTGTTTTCTTCTTTGCCAACTTGTTGGCTTATTGTAATGATAAAATGGTTTAAAAAAAAAAAAAGCCTACCTGTAGTTTAGGCAGGCAATTGGAATATTGGGTAGATAAGACATAGATAGGTCAAGGGGACACAAAGGTGAGAATGGATGTTAAAGCTATAGACTTTCACTCGAGGCCTTTGTCAGACTTGAAAAATAAAATAGAAAAATGCAGTTCAATTGCTTTCCTTTATTATATTTATCTTAAAACTATAAAAGGGTGACAAACTCCATGGGAATCTGTTGCAGTGCTTCCAGCTTTAGGTTTTAACCTTCAGGTTCAGACCATATTTTTGTAGCACAGGGACCACATGTTTTTCAAAAAGTGGGACAAACTGTAGCATTGAGCCTAAACTAAATGCATGTGATTCTTTTTAAGAAAAAAATAAAACTATTGTATTTTCAAAATATAAACTTGACAGACGATACCGAACAACCATGGCTTAACTATAAAAGTAAAACACTTGCTACCTAGTTAGGAAAGCTGGCTCCTGTCCTAGAGAGTTCTGAGTCATAGCAACACGCCTGCATGCCTCTAACTATATAGTAGCTTAACAAGGCTTCACAGCAATAGTTATGGAAGGATAATTAGCCTGCTCCTGTTTAAGGCGTTCAGCTTGAATTCTAAGACTTGGTGACTCTTCATGAGTGGGAAACTTCCTTAGTCCATGGCTCAGACCTCTCTTCACAGTTGATAAATTGTTCCATGAACTTGCCTTAATCTTCAGTGGCTGGTGGAGGATGACACGTAAGCTCGTGGCTTGCTGCCCCAGACAGCACGCACAACTCGCACCACTGGCAGTGAGAGTCAGGCTTCACGCTGCTCTCAGCTGCTTCAGATGTGTTCAGCTTCATAGTTTGTACTCTCTAGTCCCCGAAGGGCTCGTGGCAACTGTCCTGAACGGCCCTTGGACACACCGTGGCAGGGCTTAGCAAATGCAGATGGCAAAAACATGCATTTCCCACAGACTCCTCGTGCCAGGGAGAGCAGTACCAGTGATGGTAAAGACAGCAATAAATACACTCTGGTAATAAAGCACAGTTACCTGGGACACCTGGCAGAAGCAGGACCTGCCTCATGCTCTTGCCTAGCACAACACATGTTGCAGGTGAACTCTGTAAATAGCACCTTGACTGAAATGGCAAAGCTGCTCTTAGAAGAAGCTGTAGACTGCAATGCCTTCAGAATAGTTCTGAAGCGTGTGTGGAATAGGTGAGGCTACTCTGCACTATGCTCATTCCTGCCTCTCCATTGGGCTGGTACCTGGAAGACAGGCTTTGTTGGCTTTGGAGGTGACTAAAAGCACTGATGATAGTGCTGACAGCAATTTGAGCTGTGGTGTCACGTGGGAAGTCATAGGTTGCTATATCAAAGTAATGCAAGTTCTAATGCTATCACCATATTACAAATACTTCTAATGGGCTTGAAAACTACGAGACTTGAATTTGTCCTTGGTCTTGGTAGTGTTTTAGTCTACTTTCAGATGCCTGCCTATCCTTCCTTGTTGGAAGACAGGTATTTGATGCCACTGGCTCACAATTCTGAGCAGTTACTCAGACTAAGCTCTCTGGGACCAGGGCTGGTTTTAGTCCTGTTCCTACAAGCGGGGTTCAGGCCTGACTGGAGTTTTCAAGTAATACAGCAATCTAAAGATAGAGGTTTTATGACCTCCAGCTTGCTGCAAGAGCCCTCCTTGGGCCTTTCAGACATCCTTCTATTGCAACCTTCAGTTCTGCAAGATTTAAATGGTTAAGTACTTCATTATAGGTTTGTTCTTATATACTTAGTTGTCTTTTGTGAAGCACTTCAGACACCATGGAAGTGCAAAGCATCATGCATGAAGCTTCCCATAAGATAATACATAAGCATGTCTTAAGCATAATCTCCAAGTTTCAGTAAGGTTAAAAGTTGCTTCTGAATTAGAACATGTATTTGAGGCATTTTTTTTTTCCAAACTGAGATGTTTCAGTTTCCTGTCAGAATCGTTGCAACAAACTTTTTTTGTGATCAGTAATCCATAGAGTTGTGTATTTTTAAGATCCATAACCAAGTGCTTAGGGAAGTTCTCTCATAGCTTCGCTTAAAAAGAAATCTTACCAGTGTATTTGTTCTGTATTACTGTCTTAACACTTAAATTGTGTCAAAATCATAAACTATAAACTTTTGATAGCTGATGGCAATTGCTTAAAGGCTGTGAACACAGGGAGATGATGAGAGGTGTTTCCACTCCAAATAATGCATTTTTTTATGGCTCCTGTTCGTTGAGTTTCTCTTACTACTTTACACAATTGGAAAGACTGCAGTGTTTCCTGCCTCAAATGTTGGCAAATAATACTTTGAGATTTCAATAGATCCTTCTAATTTTTGCTTACAATGGTGGTTTTTCAACTGGGCTCTTGCTGGTTGAGCCATGTTCTCAGGGCTGTTTTTTTTAAGAAGTTAGCTGAAGTTCATTGTTTCTCTTGCAGGTTTTTGTACACAGTGTACCCAGAAACGGTGCACGGTCTGTAGTTTCACAATGCAGATAATTTTACATAATCTGTAAAGAAGTCAAGTTTGTTGACAGTTCAAACTCTTATGGTTGCTGCAGGTCAGTCTCACAGAACTCAAAATTCAATAAATCCCACTTTTTTTCCTTTTATTTTATTTGGTTGAGTAATTAGAATGTAGTTTGTTACAGTAGAACTAAATTCAGGCTATTAAAAGAACCTTGCTAAGGATATTTCGAGTATCCACTGGGAATGTTGTGAAGGTGTGGATCCTGGAGGCGTGGTGGAGCGATCAGCATGGAATGAGGGGGTCGGGAGCCTCTCCAGCACCTGCAGCCCGGCCCTACAGGATTTGGCACCCGAGAGTGACTTGGTTTGTGAACTCCAAGGAACTGTTTGCTGTGCTTTGCTGTATCGCAGAAACCCTTGTTGTCCTGTGCTGTCTGTTGTAAGCAAACCCGTCTTCTCCGGGAGAAAAGGGGAGCGACGGCCACAGCTGGAGTTACGGATCATGGGACAATCCAAACCCTGCTCCCGGCCCGAGCGGCTCCCGCGGCTCTCTTTTGGAAGCTTGTGTTCTCAACACCATGGAAACGATCAGGGGAAAAGAGATTTGTACGTGTGTGTTTTGCTCCAGAAATAATAATAATAAAGGTGTCAGTGCTGTGGGGAGGCTGGTGCTGGTTACACTGAACGGGACCGCGGGGGGGCCGCAGGGGGGGGCTCCGCAGCCCGTTCCCTGGGGTGGGGGTGGAGGGGGAGACACGCGGCTGGCGAGGGGAGCGCGCGCGCGTGCCCGCCCCGCGGGAATAGCGCCGGGAATTCCATGTGGGATCCCGTCCCCGGCGCCGCCATGTCCCCGGGAGCGCCCCCGCCTCCCGGCGTGCCGCGCGCGCCGGCGCGGTGACGTCACCACCGAGGGTATAAAAGCGCGGCGCGGCCGCGGTCGCTTCCTTTCAGCGGGAGCTGCGCGGCGGGAGCGTCATGGCGCCGGTGAGAGGAGGCGGCGAGGGGGCCGCGGGGGAGCTGTGGGGCGGGCGGGGGGCCGGCGGCCGGCCCAGTGACAAGCGTGGGTCTCCCCGAGAGGGCTTTGAGTGAGGGGCGGCCGGGGGGAGGCGGCTGCGGGGAGCGTCGGTCGCCGGGAGGTGGCGCTCCCGCTGCCGCGTTCTCCCTCCTCCGTGTTCCCCTTCCATGTGTGACCCCCCCCATGCCGTGTGTGTCCCCTCCCTTTCCCTCTTCGTGTATTCCCCCTTACTGCCATGTGTCCTCCGACAGTGTGTCTACCTATCCCTCCCCTGCCGTGTGTCCCCCTCTCCCGCCCTGTGTCCCCCCACTGCCATGTGCTCCCTTTCCCCCCATCGTGTGTCCCACTCTGCCGTGAGTACCCCCTCCTCCATCGTGTGTCCCCATCCCTCCCCTGCCATGTCCACCCCACCACCACCCCTTTGCTCGGATAAAAAGCTTTCTGTGGCACGGTTTCTTAATATTGTTTGTTTTGGGTTTTTTTGTGTGTGTGTGTCTACGTGTTTGTTTTAGCAAAAAGACAGAAAGTCTAAAAAGTCCACCTGGAAGTTTTGCCTTGACCTGACCCATCCTGTCGAAGATGGAATTTTTGATTCAGGGAATTTTGTAAGTCGTGGTTTTGCTTGTACTTGTGACTAATAGTATAATTAAAGCCTTATTACAGTAGCTGAGTTACACCTGAAAAGCTACATTCTTAATTAGTAAGATCAGCAGCTGTCCTTTAAATTATCGGTGCTTTTAAAAAGTTATTTGGTTTTAGTTGTCTTTTATAGACAGCATAGTTCATACCTGTCCACGAATAGAACTGTTTAAAATTCTGTTTTAGCAAGGGAGTGATATTTTATAATCACATGCACTAAAATCTTTCTGCATTGTAAATACTTCTGTGAGGACATGAATAAACAGTGTTTTTTAATGTTGCTGCATGACTAGGGTCCCTTCCCTAGTTCATACCTAGGGTGCCATTCCCTAGTGTTCTCTTTCTTTGGTGTTGAAACAGGAACAGTTCCTAAAGGAGAAGGTTAAGGTCAATGGTAAAACTGGGAACTTGGGCAACACTGTTCACATTGAACGTCTGAAGAACAAGATCACGGTGACATCCGAGAAGCAATTTTCCAAAAGGTTGGCATGGGTTTCCTTCTGTAGTGTTTGTGATAGAGAGTTTTGAACTGGTTTATGTTGAACATAAAATCATAGAGTCGTTAATGTTGGAGAAGATCCTCAGGATCATTGAGTCAAACCATAAAGCTAACACTGCCAAGTCCACCACTAAATCATGTCCCTAAAATAGCCATTAATATTCATTTCTTGCCTGCAAAAGGGATTTCAATTAGTGCACTTCTGACACTTAGAGAGGTGTCAGCTCTAACCTTCATAGCACTTGTAAATGTGTGAAATTAGTTAAATGTGTAAATTAGTGAAATATGTAATTAAAACAGATTTATCATATTAGATATTTTAAAGACTGCTTTTTAAAACTAAAGGCTTGATTGCAAATTAAGCTCACTCTAAGCATATTAATACAAATACTCTGAATAGGTCTTTAGAAATGTATCAAGGGAAGATGGACCTTTAACAGGGTGGCTGTTTGATTATTTAATGGGTTGTATTAAAATGTGTGTGTGTGTGTTATGTGTTGTTGCAAAGACCCCCATAAGTTAAATAAGCCTTAAAGTGCTAATTTTGTTAAGACACAACGGATGAGTGCACTGATCAGAGGTACAGATCCTTCCCTCCATCCCCCCTTTGTTTGCTGATACAGATGCACCAGAATCTGTTACATTGAACCAAGATTTAGAACCAGTTCTCAAGACCAAGGTTTAAAACCACTTACCAATGCTTTTCAGTTACTGGCATTTTGCTGTTTAGTCAAAAAACAACAAATAATAAATTCTTACATATCTGTAACAGAATAATCTTCTGTTTCTGGGTGTGATCAGCGTGTCTTGGGTGGAGTGCAGACAGCAGCAAGGGTTGTTCAGAGAGAAAGTTCTGACATGAAATTCCTGTTTTCAAGGTACCTCAAATACCTCACAAAGAAGTACCTCAAGAAGAACAACCTGCGGGACTGGCTCCGTGTTGTGGCGTCGGACAAGGAGACGTATGAGCTGCGCTACTTCCAGATCAGCCAGGATGAGGAAGGATCAGAGTCCGAGGAATAATGGAATCCTGGCCTTATGCTCAACACAGAGTACAAAAGACTAGAACATCTATTTATAAGAACACTTAACTTATTGGTGAATAAAGATTTTGTACCCTGTTTGACAGAGCATGGTTAGTTGTCTAGTATTTTTCTTTAATTAAAAAGCAGCTCCGGGGAATGGTTTGATTTGCAATTTTCCTTCCGTTGCCAGAAATCAGCTGGTCACTTGGCACCAATGAGAGTCACAGTAGGAGAATACTGAGCCCTTTGCCCAGCACACCTTGGGACAGTTAGATCAGTTTTTAATCATATTGGTACAAATAATCCTGGAGCTTTCTGTGACTGAAAGTACCAGCTCCTGCTAATTTATGTGGAGCTAATGGCATAATACTTAATAAAAGCTTACTTTTAATTACTTTAGTTAAAAAACAGGCTTACAAATTGTACGTATTTTTTCCTGTGTGATTTTCCTGATTCATTAGTTGGTTGTAGTATTCCTGTGTATAACCACAAGTCAAACTCTGGTATGAAAGAGGTTTGTTAGCCAGATTTGTATTAGATTGATTGATAAGGAGGTAGAGACAAATCTCATTGCCAGCATCCAGCTAAAACAACCTAAATGAAGCAGTGAGGTGCCCTTTAATATTGACAGTGACTGAATGCCATAAAATCCATACAGATGTTTTTACTTTCATGATGTGTTTTACAATTCTTGTATTTGACTTCTGGGATTATTTCCTTAATACAAGCATTTCTTTAGTACAAGTGGGGTTTTTTAAATTGAAACACAAACCACTCTAAATCCTGTAAAACAGTTCTTCTGTTTATGTAATATCAAGAGAAATGTGATGAATTTTCACTATGAAAAAGTATTTGTGAGCCTGCAGCTGCAGTAACTGCTGCATGTGGATGCATTTCAGTGCCATGTGCTGTTGGGCTGATAGTGTCCTCTGCATGTGATTTATTATTGCTCTCAGGTCCCAGAGCATTGGTGAACTCTGGAATAAGTAAACATCATAAAACAGGGATGTGTGTAGGCTCTGATATTGATTTTTGTGCTTGAACAAATCTGCTAGTTCAGGCTGAAGTGTGCCTACTAAATAATTTGATTTCCTGATGATTTTTTTTTTTTATAAATTATATCAGCATTGTTTCTGCTGGCAAACCTCTGAGCCAGTCTAGTTAGAGACTTGCCAAAGACAAAGCAATGTATTAACAGTCCAATGGCACCCACTTTGGCTACCTAAATCTAAATGAGAAGTACAGAAGGGGAGATGAACTTTGTCAACAGCCTTTGGGGTCCCATTTGTCATTTTTCAATGTGCTTGAGCAGCTGTTCCTGGCAGGTGGCCCAGGGAGAGGAAAGGAAGCAGCAGTGGAACAACTACTTGTGTCATCTCTGCCTTGCTGGTTTGTTTCATTTTGCTGTCTCAGAGGTAGCAAAAGGAAGGGAGCAGCGTGTGGCTGCCAGACAGATGTGTTGGACTTCATATGCTTCAGTGGAAATAAAACACTAGAAGACCTGTCCTGATCTTGAGCACTGGGTAATGCTGCCTTGGAATTTCCCACTGGAGAAAAAACAGGCAGTTTTGATGCAACAATTAAAGGTTCTTACTTTTCTGTAATTCCAAAGATCACTGCTGCTGTTACAAAGCATTTACAGTATTGGTGGTTCATACTGGGTTGAACAAGCCACCGTTTTCCTAGTAAACTTGCAAGTATTTGTAAAACTGATCTGTTTTCTTTGCTGCAGGAAGTTAAGCAAAGGGCCTGACTTAAGACTTGTGTTTCAAAACACACCCCCACCTGGTGTTTCAGAGTTGTGCTTTCATGTGACAGTACATCCTTTACACCTCACTGACACAACAAACCTGTTGTGATTAAATGGAACAAGCGCAAACAGAATCGGAGCTAATGGGATCACAGTGCCTTGTTATCCTTCCTTTCAAAGCAGACTGGCAGTGTGTGGTTGTACAGCCGAGCAGATACAGATTGTCATTAGTCAGGAGAGAGGGAAACAAGGCCTGGGATTGCAAGCAAAGCAACTTATTTCCTAGCTGTGTTTGGAGGAAAATTGCCAGAGTGCTCATGTGAATTGTATTACTCCCTGAGCTTCACTGCAGTGAGGATGGAGCCTTGGAATTCCTGTTGGTAACCTTTGAAAAACCAGAATTCTGATTAACAACTGTGGATCTAGAGTGCTTAGCAAATTCAGGAGCATTTTCCTTTAGGTAGCAGCCAGGCATTTTTGTTTTGTCCCTGTGTTGCCGCCCAAGCTCTGCTGGCCCGACCGAGAACCTCCCAGCTCTGATTTTAGGAGTATGGGGGCTGTTACAGCTCTTATGCAGGAGGAGTTTTATGAGGTGAAGGTGCACGTATGTGTTAGGCACAGAAGCCACAGAGGGATTTTAAATTTAGATGGAGCTTTTACAGTCCGATTGTTAAAAGATTCATGGAGAAAACTCACTGAAGTCCACAGATGAGAATTTGACCTCAGGAAACACTTCAGAAAAATGGTGATTCTTTCATAAGTTCGTGTATTTCACAACCGAAGAGGCCAGGTGTGATGCAGGTGGCAGTCAGGGAACAGAGCCTGTTATTGTTCAAATGTAAATTAACGCAAATTATCCTGATTAGAATTGAAGCAAGCTTTTTTAGAAGCCAGAGGTCAGTGTTTCTGTGATCCCTGGTGGGGATGCAGCTCTGCCCTGCTGGGAGCGGCCAGGTACCTTCCTCAGGGACCTGGCAGGCTGATTGTTTCTTTCCATCTAGGATTTGCTGTAAAATCACTGGTGTCATTCATCTTTGTTTTGAAAGTTAAAAGATCCCGAACAGCTTGATAGTGGACAGGATTGACTGCTGGAATTTTCCATGTTTAGTGCTGGACAAGAGCCCAGAAAAGCCCTGCTCGATGGAGGGTCAGGTTCTCTTTGGAGCTGCAGGGACACATGCTCCTGCATCAGCCACAGGATGAAGCTATTGGGAAAAATTACGTACCTACAGCACAAAGACTTACAAGTTCAGCAGCCACAGAAACGTGTTCCGGTCTCAGGTGATGCTCAGGGTGCTCTAGGATTTCCAGAAGGGACAAGCACGAAATCCAGCAGGAGTGAGTGCTTTGAGAGCACTGCTTTGCCTCCACTCAGCTGAGAGCCCTGGTCCATCAAGTCAGAAGTGTAATTTGGAGAGAGGAAGAATCATTGCAAAGCACCAATTGCACTGGTAGCACAGCAGATGGGCCTGGGCCAGCACCTGCCAGCTCAGGGCTCAGGAGGGCAACGGCACCATGACTCTTACTAGACTTCAGTATAGCCAAAATTTTTACATATATATGTATTCTATATTTTATGAACATATATAAATACGTCATAAAAATATATTACTCCCCCTTTCATTTTTCAATGTTTTTCCCCTTTATTTCTCAAAAGATGTTTTTGCTGCTCTTCCCCAAATAAAATCGGTTTATGAGAGACATCCCACACATGTAAAATTCCAGTGTCTGTCAAACAAAATGAAGAAACAGAGATTTCTAAGCACAAGTGGCTGTTGCCAGAGCAGCAGTAGCAGCACCACATAAGCTATTTATGTGTGAGCACAGAGAGATATTATTTTTCTGCACCACCAGTATCTATCAGTTTTACTGCAGCAAAACTCTCATTGTCTTCCATTAAAAAAAAAAAGAACAACAAGCTGCACAGGATTTCACCAGTTTTAAGCATCTCTTTAAGCTACTTCTTGATGTACCTGTGTGCTTTCTGTCTGCTTGCTCTCCTGGCCTATAGCCCCATCAGAAAACAACTTTATTATATACCCAGAAATAGTAAGATCAGCAATAAGAAGGTAAATAATAGCAGGAAGTGTCTAAAAAATGTGTCAGGGTACTCATGTATACAATAGACCCAGCATGTGGCAGGTATTAAAGGAGGTGCAGACTCAACATTGTCACAAAACATCAGCACGATGTAATTAGAAACAGAGAGGCCCACGGAAAAATAAATACTCAATAATAGCCTGGATGTACCCAGCAGCAGGAAATGAGCTTCAGTGGTGGAGTGATCTGATTACACCAAATATAGACAAAAATAAGGAACAATTGTTATTTCTTTTTAAAGGCAAAAACATAGCAAAAATTTCTTATTGGGCAGATCAGTAGGGATCAAATTGCCTCCTCATTTTGTATATATATATGTATTATATGTATGATATATACATATAATCTATATATCTGTATATTTTATTTATCCATTATATATTTGGAAGGTTCTGGCAGCTGTCCTGGCAGGGTAACCCAGAGGGGCACGATGTGGGCATCTGCCCCAGGGGCAGCACAGGGCTGCAGGGCTCAGCAAGGATTCATGTCAACACCATCCTTTTTCAGCCTCTAAATCCACCCAGCCCATCCAGCCACTCACCTTTGGATTGCTGCTCAGCTGTCCCATGGACACGGAATAGCTAAATTCCCGTGGCACATGTATTTTTGGCAGGGTGCTGGCCTAAAACCCCTTTTAGGCTTGCCTTGGCACTGTGGCTGCTATTTGAGCCCTAACTCACACTAAAGCAATGCTGTTGCAGAGCACAAACCATGGGTGGGAGGAGTGGCCTGGGATGACCAGGACAATGGCTACAACATGCCCCAAACACCCCTCTGGCAGGATCCCATGAAGCCCTCATGGAGCAGGCTGAGGGGTTTTTTTCCAAAGAGGGTGTTTCCATGACCCTCCGAGACTGGAAACTGCCCCGAGCAGCTTTTTGCACCTGAATCCCTTTGCTCTGCTGGTTAACAAACTCACAAAGTGCCACCAGCTGGGATAGATTTTCCCATTGCTGTCCATCCATGCTGGATTTAAACGAGCAATTAAGAGAGAAATGCTTTAATAGGTTATTAACAAATCTTTTTCCTTTTCAATTTTTTTTTTAATTAAGTAGTTTAACTTGGCAAGGCAGTTCAAACACCCCATCCCACCCTGTTCCAGCAAGCATTAAAGCATGATTAGATGTTTGTTATGATGTTCTTGCCATGAGTTCGGAGGTTTGGAAGGGATTTTAAATGGAAACATGGGACAACAGGCATTTTTTTCAGCAGACCATTGCCCGTTGGCTCCATCACCACACTGGTGTTCCCTGCATGC